GGGTCTGAGGAGATTGAAGCTAGGGAGAAAGGGCTGGAGAGTGCAAGGGAGCTGTCCACAGGGAAATGAGTTAGACACGCTCTGTGTTACTCCACAGAGCAAACTGTGACCAACAACAAATGGAAAATGCTAAAGTAGATTTGGCTCAATATAAAGAGGCACTTTCTAAAAGATATGATACACTCTGACTACATAGGAGTAGGTCTCTGTCACCATAAGTGGGCAAGCACCAGCTAGATTACCATCTGTAAAGAATGTTCCAGAAGGGATCCCTGCATTGGATGGTAGGTGGCACTACTCTGGCTTCCAGCCTGGGGGATTGTGGGGACTGATTGTGGCCCTTAGAGAGGTTTTGTTTGTTCTACAAGTTAATTTTTTTAAATGCCTTTGGGTTAACACCCACTCTGGAGTTCAAACCATCCACCCTGCTCCCTGCTGTCTAGAATCCTGCTGCTTCACATACTTATGCCACCTGCCCATATCCTAAAGGCATTTACATTTGCATAACCTGTAATGTCCAGTCCAATTCAAAGGTAATTTGCCCCAAGACTGAACTTCACCACAGAGCTGTCACAGAATTTTCTACCATTGGGGAATGGAAGAGAGAAGATTTTGGTAAAAAAAAAATATATATATATAAAGTAGAATAGATCGGTGAAGATGGAAGTCCCAAACAGCCTAAGGTTGAACCATCTCTTCTGCTCTGCACAGCTCCACATCACACCCCTAGAGACTAGTTTTCTCCCTCCCTTCATTTAGGTTTCAATTCCGAAGGCTTCTTTTTTCCTGAGCCTCTAGAAACTCAAGACTATGTTAAGTGTTAAACTTTCCACTGAGGATTGAGTGCTTTTATTACCAACTCAGCTCAGAAAAAGCAGCCCCTCAGGTTGACTTTTCTTACTATTGTAAACCATTTCAGAGAGTCTTGGCAGGGCCCAGACGCCTCTGTGCTGTGGTTGGTGTAATGCTGCCACCTGGTGATTGTTTGGACCAAGTGCCTGAGGCACCAGCCTCCTCAGGGCAGGGTCTACCTAATTGGGAGGGTAAAATCTAACTCTGTGAGGACAGTCCTGTGCCGGGAATTTCTGATAAATATTAACATTAATAAGGTTACTCATTAATGATATTTAAAATGATATTAATAATGACTGAGTTCTGATAGCTAATAAAATATTAAGATGGTGTTCTGCAGTAAAAATGTATATGTAATTATATCATGTCTTACATGTGCATAAAGTCTTCATGTGCATACTGTTGGATATTATCCTCTTCACAACCCTGCAAGTAACATTATCATCATATTTATTCTTTTTCCCTATGAGGAAACAGGCTCAGAGAGTGTAAGACCACACAGCTAGTAAGTGAGAGTCAGAATTTGAAGCCAGTAGATCTGGCTCCAGATTTTCTAGATGACTCAGTTACAGGGCCAAACTGGATCTTAGTAGCATACATTGTAGAGAAGTTAGCCCCCTCAAGTGATAAGATTGGCAGAGTGGGGGAATCAGCAGTCATGACAAGTTCATGGCGGTGGCAGGGGCTGGAGAGGGGGGTTGGTGGTGGTTTGGAACAGGATCCACCCAGTAGGGGAGGGTTTGAATAATAAGACCTAGCTAGGCGAAGGGGGCTGTTCTGGGTCAGGGATAGGTAGGGGTAAGTTAAGGCTCCAATCCAGCGGAGTAAGGAAGAGCTATGACTCCTTGGGCATAGTAAGTGCCTAGGGAGTATCCCATTGGAGGTGATGAGGCTTCTAAAATTCTACCTGCCTTAGCCTCGACAGTTTCAGGAACTGGGTTGGGTTGGCCTGGAGGTGCAGGTGCTAATTTCATTACTCATCAGAGGCCATGTCTTCTTCCCCGAAGCCGTGCCCTCCCTCATGTTCCATATTAGGTGTGAGGGTGCGGGAATGATTAACGATGCACATTTGTATTTGTTTGTTTAATCATCTATCATAGCCGCCCTGGGCTAGGCGATTCCTCAATCTTTGTATCATGTAATTCCTACAACCCTAAGAGAATATTTGGAATTTGCACACCCAGTTTTGAGATGTTTATCATCTAGTTGCCGAAAAGGTTGGTGTAGAAGCAGAAAAGATGTTTAGCCTCCTGAAGAAACTAAGCCAACTGTAAATTGGACCACATTTTCTTGGTGACTTGCTCAAAATGATTCAGATGTATGTATCTGACTTCTAAAACACAAGATAAATAAGCCTCTACTCCTGAGAGGACTGTGCCCAACTCCACCATTTGATCTCACCATCAAAGAGAGGCTTTCAAAATCTGGTCGCTTTACACTTTCACTTAAATGAGTTTCAGAGGTTATTTTTGCTTATTTGTTTTTGGGTTTTGTGTTTTACACAAGTACAATTAACTAAAGATAACAGTTAAAATATAAAGATACCCCTTTTAGAGGAAATTTCTTTCTACCTTTTAGGGACCCTTTGTGTTTTTGCTGTTGTTTATTTTCATTTGGACCAGATTGATATGAACCAACCAGTTTACAGACAAATGGGCTCTAACCTATAATTTCTTTCTAGTGCTCTACTGTATATTTTAACCAAAAGTTATAAGAAGGGGACTAACAATTTTATATGAATCTTACATTCCAGAATAGTAATCGCTTAGATATGATCTGAAAAGTTTGAAGAATAATGGTGTACTGGGAGTCCTTCACAGCTTGTGGTACAAATCTTGCCCTAAAATATGTATAGAAAAATTGAGAGGTTGCTAAGTCAGTTTTGTCCATCCTACAGTAAGGTTCAAGCCTCCTGTTGAATATCTTTGGGTCTCCCACTGTTGACACAGCATAGGTTTGGAGACTGAGAGTGTAAGTCTGTCCTGTCTACATGTTCTGCCTGCTACAGAGGGCCACTGGGGGCTGAGTAGAAACAGGCTGTACTGGGTATCTGAGACACCTAAGGGGAACTCGGAACAGGAGGTTTGTGTGGGAAATTCCTGAGGATGGGCTTCCCAGTCCATAGAGTTATTCAGTGGAGGGGCTCCAGCCAAAGCGGCCAGAGCCCTTTCCATAGCACTGAAAAAAATTTGAAATTTTGCATTGAGTTTTTGAAAGATTTCTGACATAATCATCATTTATATTGTACCCATAGTTGATCTAAGGAGGAAAACAGGTGATTTTTTTTCCACCTCCTAAAAGATCTGAAGAGTTTTCATACTGGCTGAGTTAATTATAACAAAAGCAGTGAAGTCTTATGTTACACAATATTGTGTACATTAAATATTACACACATAAGTGAGTATACACTATTTCCTTTGACAGCAAGTAAACAAGTATTCTACTACCCAAGTTAAAGGCTATAAAAATTGCATGTCTTGTCAGAGGAAAATCTCGCAGGTAGTCCCTTGCATACACCATTTAATTTTATAACAGGTGTTTGGTTTTTTTGGCTCTTCTAGGTCTTTGTTATAAACCCCACACTGTGATGTTATCATTTTTACTTAAATAGTCAGTTATCTTTCTAAAACATTGAGATATTAAAAACATATTTAAAGCTCTGGAACCATGTCTCTAGGCTGTCTTTGCTCAGACCCACGGGCAGTTAAGGCAGCTGGGAGACAGTCCTACAAGGAGATGAGGTTCTCCTGCCTGTTTTGTGGAGCTGTCCTTGACGGCTGGATCTAGGACATCTAAGCAAAGGCTGGATATTCCTTTGTTTGTTTTTTCCTTTGAATTCTTCTGCAGCAGCTAGTTCTTCAAGTATTTGCTTGACAACAGGTACTAAATATTCAAGCATTACAGCCACCAACCCCATTGGCTTTTTCCTTTTAACCCACATCCCAGACCTACAGTCTTTTCTTCCAAGATAAATAAATATCTTTCTTCTATCACTTGTATTATAAGGAAGCTACATTCCAACCACCCTTCTCCCAAAAGACTCCCTCTTCTAGCTTATACTGTAGTGAGCTAGAAGCACATCTCATTACAGAAGAGAAAAAAAAAATCCTACAATTTAATTTTTAGCAGGTTGACGCTCTAGTGGTCACCCATTTCTCCCACCTCCATCCATATAATATTTACATAAGAAGTGACAGATAAATTTAGAACTTCAAGGTGCTCATGTTTACGGAGTTATTACCTGCCCACACTTAACATTGTTCTTTCTCTGCCCTTTCCAGCCTCTCACAATGATGGGAGCAGCAGACTAAAACAAGTGTGCAGACTTGTTGTTAATATAAATAGAGTCCAGATGAAGCTAGTAAGGGGTTCTTATCCAACATTTAGTAAAAAGAAAAATTATATAATGTTTTAGTCAGTTTGGGCTGCTATAACAGAATACCATAGATTGGGTGGCTTGTAAACAACAGAAATTTATTTCTCACAGTTCTTGGGGCTGGAAGTCCGAGATCAAGGTGCTGGCATATTTGGTGTCTAATGAGGACCTGATTCATAGATGATCGTTCTCTTGCTGTGTCCTCACATGGTGGAAGGAGCAGGGGAGCCCTTTGGGGCCTCTTTTATAAGAGTACCAGTCCCATTAATGAGAACTCTGCCCTCATTACCTGATCACCTCCCAAATGTCCTACTTCCTAATACCATAACCTTTGGAGTTAAGGTTTCACCATATGAATTGAGGCAAGAGCATCACATTCAGTCCACTGCAATATGTAGACTCACATATAGAAATTTTGGTGTTTATTGTTTTGTTAGAGTGGTATTCAAGGCATATGCATTTCTTTCTGGATTTTCTTCCCCTTAGTAAAGATGCATATCACAATCATATCGCTATTTAGTTTTAAGAGATGTTGGTTCCCCTTCCTTTGTTTCATGTTTTATTTCTTGTATCAGGAAGCCAGTGGCACCATTTTACATGGACTCTGACAACTGAGAGAAAAAATCCTTGGAATTCTCTCATTCATTTATACTTGCATGCAGTGGGCATCTATTGAGGATCTATGGCATGTCAGGCAGAGAGAGGGTTTGACCCCAGTCCTGTTGGCGGTCTTCACTTTATTAACCCCAGGCCTCTTTATTCCTTTCCGCAGGTGCCATGGTGAACAGGGCAAACAGCTGCCAGTCTGACAGCAGTGGGTTCCTAGAGGAACCACTGGAACCACAACTCGTCCAGGTAGAGGGCCACTTGTGGGCTGGAATAGGAATGGAAGGAAAGACAAGATTAAAGTGTGTTACCCGAGTTGGAAAGTGCAACCAGTGCTTAGGAGACACATGCCACAGGCACCCCCCAGGGATGGGGGACAGTGGAGTCATACTGGACAAGATGCAGAAAGCTCAATGTTCCTTCCCTTTTTATTTGCTTTTGATTATTCTAAAGAAGGAAGCTGAGCCTTGTGTAAAAAAGGCCCCAGGTAAAGTATAAACTGACATAAGCCTGAATTTATAACCCTTGTCGCCTGACTCCTAAGGTAATGATAATGATAAGAAAAAAAGCAAAACAAAACATTTTGTAAACCTAGTGCCTCCTCCACCTTTCTGACCCGTTTGTCTTTATCCCGGTTTCTCCCACAGATAGCTTCCTTGTCAAGCAGCCAGAGTCCTCCTGAGAATGGATACAGAAAGCCAAGGAGTCAGAGCCACAGCTCGGAGTCATCCCGAGACTGTCAGCGAGAGTCAGATGGGTCTGATTCCACGGGTATGGTGAGCACATCTTTTTCAAGTCAGGACTGGAGTGTCTTGGAAGAAAAGGTCTCAACCTCTGTGGAAGAGAAAGAGTCTCAGTTTGAGGCCATGGAAGGGCCCCCAGAGCTGTTGACCCCAGATCTGGCCCTTCGTAAGACCACCACTGGGGGAGAACTCCCACGGAAAGATGGCCACCTGCAGCAGCACCTGCCTGTGCCCCAAAGTGAGTCTGAGGCTACTGTGGGCACAGTTACCTCCAAATGTGACTGTCCTCTGGGGTTTATGGTGACCCACACCACAGAGGTGAAGGATGGGTTTCTGAGGCTTGAACGAGATGGGGAAGTATACGTGCAAAGCCACCACTGTGAGTCTCAGAGATCACCTGGAATTGATCCTGGTCAAGACAAGTCTCTTCACATTGACTCTGAGGCCCCAAGGGGTATGGAAAGTGGTAAACTCTGTCCTGACATCAGCCACACCTCACTGATGCGAGAAAGTCCCCCACAGCATGTCCTCAGGCCCAGTGAAGTCATGCCCTATACAGTTGACCTTGTTCAAACATCTAAAAAGTCTGTTTGCCATCTAGATAAAGTGGCTGGAGATATTCCCCAAGTGAGGCCCAAGTGTAGTGCTTTGGGTCAAATACCACCTAGGACAGAATCGGGGCTGGGAAACCTTCCTCCAGATGCTGACTTCAGCACTGTTAGTGCCAAGTCTGTGACAATCCAGATGTCCTCCAATCTGGCATCAGCTGTTCAGAATGCTGTGGTGTTGGGGATAGATTCTAGAGGAGCAACTTCAGAATGCACTCTGTGTGACCCTGTCCCCACAACAGAACCAGGACTGGGGGCAGAAGCAAGACAGTTCAATGATGTTTCTGTTCAGACTTATACATGTGAGCCTAGCCCCTGGCATTGCTGTTCAGCTCCAAGTAACAAGGCCCGGCCCCTCACCAAATCTGTCTCTCTAGACACAGTCTTCCCTAGTGTCCACCCAGTGGGCATCTGTCGTGCTGCACCTGCCCACTGTTGTGTCTGCTGTCATCACCATCTCCACTGCCACTTGGAGAGGCAAAGCCCCAGCTCCGTGTCTTCAGCCTGTAGGCACTGCCCATGCTCATATACTCTGGAAGCCCAGTTCATGAAGACTTTGAAAGTCCTTCAGGACACTGCAGTGAGGGAGCTGTATTCTGTAAGTATTTACCTCTGCAAAGATGGGAAGACAGGTGCAACAACAAGAAGTACCTCAGGGAAAATGTTCAGCCTTCCTTTCCAGATGTGAGCTCTGAGGACAGGCCTTTCCACTTCAAATCATGAGTAACATTTGTAGAGTGCTTTATTGTTTACAATATGTTCTCACAGTTTTCTTCTTATGTGATACTTCCAATCACCTTGTGAAAGAAGGCAAATTTTATTATTAATCCCCATTTTATAGAGGGATGTAGAACATACTTATATAAAACACAAAGATTCATATATAAGTTTCAAAGCATTAACGCATCTGTACGTCCTCTTCAGTTTAGTCTAACCGAAAATTCTGTCTTAAATTCACTTAGCTGTATGATCTTGTACAAGCCATTTAATCTCTCTGAGTCTAGTTCCTGTTTTACAAAATAGGGGGAATATTTATACTGACATGGAATTTTTTTAAGATGAAATGAGAGAAAACTCCTAGGGTAGGTACTCAGCACAGTGCCTGGCACACGCACACACAATAGGGAGCCCTATGAAGTGCTAATTGTGTGGTTGTTAGTCTTACAATCAATTTTTGTTGCTATTTTATTATTGTTCAGGTCTTAAATATAGAGCTCCTTATGTCAGATAGAGGGACTCTGGGTCTATTTTTGCTAAGCTTATTTAAAAGTGGACATTGAGGTTACTGGAAACTGAATGACCCCCAACCCTGTTCAGCCCCTGATAAACCAACAGGCATTTAATAAGTCTTTCCAATGACCTCTCCTCAGCAATTCTCAAAGTCAGAAATCATCCAGGGCATCAGAGTTAGCTGTTGATTTTAACAAGTTAAGAATATCACACATGAAACTGCGTGTATAGGTGGTGGGGAGGGAGATGGCACATATAATGTAGGATTATAGCTCTTTAAAGGAGAATGGAGAGCAACTGTAATTTACTGAATGGCTGTTACTTGCTGCTTTCTGGGTTACCTTCTCATTCTTTTAATTCTATGAATATTTATTGTCTATGGTAAGTACTTTTTATACTATGTTAAGTAACTCTCATTTTCATTCATGCCATAAATATTTGTTGAGTCCCTATGCATGCCAATTCCTCCCTCTCTTACAGATGAAGAAACTAGTACTGAGAGAGTTTAATTTTTCCAATTCCCCCAACTACTAGATCCAGATTCAAATTCAAATTTAACTGACACCAAATTCTTGAGTAATACACTCCAAAGATGTGTCCAACGTTGAAAAATACCTGTGTATCTATATAAGTGTAATAGTAACATGAGAAAGTGATCATTTTAAAGATAAGGTGAATTACTACATGGTCCTTCAATGTATAGAAGTGTAATATAAACATAGAAAGTGGTTACATGAAATATAAAATTCACTACATCTTTTTTCAAATTTCAAGATTCCCAGGCATTTGTAATATTTTAGAATGAGTCATTAATGAGGGTTGAACTAGTAAAAGAAGGGGTTGAGATCAACTCTAGGTATAACATTATTGAAAAGTTCAGTGGGAGAAAAGAACAAAGGTTAATGTACAGCTAGGATCCGTTGGAGGATCAAAGGACTGGTGTTCAGACCCTGGAGAATAGTAGGGGTCGTCATCACCATCATTATTTACCGGGAGACTTTAAATGCTGTAAGGCAGTGATTTTCAATTGGGGGTAAATTTGCTCACCGCTGGTGACAGTTGGCATTGTTTGGAGACGTGTTTAGTTGTCATAAGTAGGGTAGGTGTTACTGGAGTTTAGTGGGTCGAGTTCAGGACTGATGGTAAACATCCTACAATACACAAGACAGCCCCCACAACTAAGAATTATCTGGCCCAAAATGTCAACAGTGCCAAGGTTGAAAAACTCAGCTCTAAGGTAATAAACATTTACTTGACAACAGAGTCCATGTAGAAATATGTCAGGGATGAGACATAGCTGGAGAAGGTGACATTGTAAGGAACTATGGGGGGAAATATTAAATCCTACAATTAGGTACTCCAGATCCTATGATGAAAACCAGATTTTTTATCTAACATATCCTGAAAAAAGGTTATTTTTCTAATATACATTTTTAAGATAAGTTTTACAAGGATATACTAGTTAAACCATGTTTGGTTTTATATTTTGTTTAAAAGTATAAAAAATCAAAATTGTGTTAAAACTTCAGAAGAAATGACACACTAGACACACCTCATGTCATTCTTTTAGCATTTAGTTAAAATGCTGCAGATACTTACTCCATGATAAGACACTATCTAGTTTCTGTTCACATTACCACATCACAGCAGAAACAACATAAATCACTTATTGATGGTGCTCAGAAGAGAAATAACAAACAGGGTATCCATGGGCTAAGAAGCTGGAAATCTATTGCATCAAATTGTCTTTGGGAAGTACTATTACTTACTTTATTAATATTATAATCAAGCATCTACGGCAACAGCTGTATATTGATATTCAGTTAGCCTATCATTTATTCAGTTATATGACCACAAATGAAAACAAGAGAGAAGGGTAATTCAGCCTCCTGTGGCACAAGCTGAAGACAAATTCTAGCTAACGAGGTTACTTGGCGTGGTTGAGGTGACTGTGACAAATCAGTGCAGACAGAGGACTCACCAGGGTCTAGAGTGGCTCAGTCATTCAAGGGGTGGACCTGACTACAGGTGTCAGGAGTGCGTCCAGTTCATCAGGCAAACCGTGGCACCCAGAGGGCACAGCTGGTCAGTTAGTACAGTCCAGTAAAGGCATTAATATGTGTGGTTTTATAGAAGGCATAAAGGGTTTATAATATACTGGGGATGTCCTTATGAACTTATAGCAGCATGGTCTGGGGACTGAAAGAGCAAGTGGGCATCCGGCACCTGGGAGCATGGTGGCAGGCAGAAGGATGGCGGCGTTTGGGAGAGAGCTAGACTGGAAAGAGCGAGAGATGCTGCTGGGGAAACTCAGGTGCAGGAACCCAGAGCCAGGTACAAGGTAAGGACTGGATCTAGCAGCTGTAAAAGGTCACTGCTTAGAACAGGGACAGAAGATTAAACCTGGGCCAGCTCTAGGGGTGAGTGCCCCTGCACGTAGAGCAGAGCTCTCCCCCTTCCTCCTCCCTGGTGTCATGAGGAGGCCTTGGCCTGAGTACCCCAGCTGTGTGGAGAGATCTGGCAACTGGAAATAGAAGTTCCTCTTGATTTGACGCTATATCATATCAGCACATACGCGGAAAATACAGAGGTTTTGTGGCCCATTAAGCACAATGGCCATCTTCACACTTGTATGTAGGTTTTAAATGAGTAGGAGTTCGAGTGAGCATACATACCACCATCCATGTCTTCTAATACCTTGTCTCATATTGCCGTAGTCTTCTCTCCTCTAAGAATTTATCATTATACCCCAAAATACTACTTTTATGTCAAATTGATTTGGCGTTAGACACCTGCTGAAACACATACTCTGTAGGATTTTATTAGGTGATGATGCATTTCTCTTTATCTAGATCCAAGAACCACACACATACTCTCAAATAATCAAAACCCACATACATGGAAGTGTATATATGCACTGGTATGCAGGTGCACACACACAGACACACACACACACGCATGCAGAAAAGCAAGTAAAAATAAGGGATTGCATTCAGTCACAAGAGGAGGTGACTTAAACTAAAGAACAAACCCAAGAACAAAGAGAAAAAGCACCCATGGTGAGTGAGCCTGGGTTTGTAAAGCCTGAAAAATACTGTGGATAAAAATGGGCCTAAGTTAGATGTCGGGTGCTAGCTAGGGTTAGAGAAATTATTTATAAAAAATTACCTAGAAAATAGGTCTTGGACCCAGTGAAGATTAGAGGCAGAGATAGATACCATCTCTTACGTGTCAGTGGAAGTTTCAAGCAGGTGCTGAAACTAAAAGCAAGTTTAGGTAAAAGACTCAGAAAACCACCCCCACTTCACCCCCTTACACAGAAGTATGTGACAGTGCAGAGAAACACTGACTGATTGGCAAATGCGACTTTTTTGGTCTTGTGGGTTACCTAAGAGAACGGCTTCTTGATAATGATGAAATTCTTATATATAAGTGAATTCTTCACAATCATTTGTTAATTCAAAAAAAAATCTTTCCAGAAGAGAAAATGAGATGCATCTGAAATAAGAGTTTTGGATATTAGATTATTCTATAATGTTTGTGACTTATATTTAAAGAAAAGAAAAATCATACAAATTTTAAAAACTAATATGAGCCAATTCAAAAGTGAAGGGTCAATACTGTTGCTGTTACTGTTGAAGTTAAAGTTTATTTTAATGGGCAGCCTGGGTCAGTAGAGTAGAGCTTGCATTGTATTTTGAGTTATAATCTAGCCCTTATATTGGAAAAAAAAAAGTTCAGAATAGTAGAACAGTCCTTTTTTTTTTTTCTTGCCTAAGGTTTCCTTTTTTCCAAAACTACTCTAGAGCTGAAATGTATTTTTAGTGTTTCCAAATGACCAGGAGATGGCAGCATCTCAGAATCTTCCACATCACTCCTTTCATGGGGAGCACACCATCAATTCTTCCTAAATCCCAGCCCCCATGCCTTTCAGTCACAAAAGGTTACCCCCAGAATATCTAGATAAAGCGTAATATTCGATGTTTACAACGTTCAGCCTATTTGAACAACATATTTCCACAGGCCTGGCCTCACTGTCCCTGGAACGTGGTCATCTTGTAAGAACCTACTAGGACCACTCAGTTGGCTCACTCCTAAGGGACAGATAACTTCTCTGTGTGACCAGCAACATTGTAGTCCCCCTGTGACCACAAGCTAGATCTTGAGAAGAAAAGAAAGAAGTCAGGAGAGTTGGGTTTGAAATCTACCATTTTTGACCTCAGACAAGTTAGTTAACTGTTTGTGTCAGAACACATCTATAAAAAGAAGTCCTCCATGGTCCCTAAAATACTTTCTGGTTTTAACAGCCATAATTGTAGCCGCCTTTCAAGCAATCTTGCCGACATCAATAACCTTCAAACACTCCTCTAACTGATTCAAAAGCACTCGTGCTAAAGCAAAAGTAATCGAAGAGTTTTGCTATGCGAAATGTTACTCCTGTATAAAAGTGAGAGGACAGAATCAAAACCAGACTCTCGAGGAAAATGATGGAGAGTTTTCAACACTGAAATATCACTCTTAGGACAGTATTTCCATTATGACAATCCCAGTAAGAATAGCCATCAGGCTGCCAAGATCCTGGCCATGTGGTTTTGGGGAGAAGGATAAGAAATCTGGGACTTCCTAGAAACGGGGATTGGTCTCTATGGAAGGAGGAGGAAGAAGATAAGGTTAAAAGAGGCCTGCCATTGCAATCAGGTTCCTTTAAAGAGCTTCCCAGAAGCCCAACAATACAGTCTCCACTTCAGTCTCTTTGCCACCCTATCTATAAGGGATACCGGGAAGGTAGTTTTTAAGTTAGACATACTGATGCCCCTCAGATACTAGAGTTCTGTTAATATGAACAAAAGAGGGAGACATAGTGAGTAGGCAACTGGCAGCCTCTGCACTAATAAGGGAGAGGGTGCAGACTGGTAGGCCTGGTAGAGACAGCATTAGGGTCCAGCTAGCATTAGTGTCACTCAGTCAGGTAGCAATTTGGGAGTTCTAGATCATCAATCTATTCAAAGCATGATGCAACCTGGGCTGGAAAACAAAGAGACTAGCTGGTAAGAACTCAGCAAATCAGCAGAGTACCTGACAAATAAACTGGGCTCAGTGGCTGCAAGAAGATGTTTACATAAGGAAATCAAGGCAAGGGCACTGTCATACAGACAAAGTAAGATTTACAGAGCGAGTCACATCTGGGGCAATGGGCAGCAGGACTGGGAGGACAAACAGTTCAATTCTGGGTACCAGTCCTTGGAAGGATGGGATGCCTAATCTACGCCTGCCTCACTCTGAATGGGCTTGTTAGCTGGGTGGGGCTGATCCTGCGTATTCAACCACCGGAGGCTGTGGTTATGCAGAGCTAAGACTAATAAAAAATATTCTCAGCCGACTTTCTTTAATCAGATGCACAGCATCTGAACAGATGTGTTCAAAATCATTGAGATTCAAAGTGAGGCAGTACTCAGCATCAAAGTTAAACAAGATTCACTAAGACTCAACTTCTGTAAACACAAATCCATGCTATTCTGACCCTTCCCCCCTCCTCTCCTGTCTACATCCTTGCACCACTTACATCATCTTCCAGACTCCCTTCCTGTCTCTGGGACATAAGGGTCATCTGACAATCACTGCCCTCTTGTCCCAGCCACGTACCGCCTCTAGTTGCTTGGAGAAGCCAAAGGCTGGGCTTTCCCTATCCTCTTCCCCACACGGTAGCAGCAGAGCTTCATTGCAAACAGGTAAGCCCAGGTGGGAAAGCAGGTGCCTCTGTGGTGCACTCTCGCAGTGAATCAGAAAGGACTTCCTTCTCAGCTCTCTCTCATTGTTCTCAGTGCACAGTCCACGAGATGGAGACAATGAAGACGGTATGCCAGAGTTTCCGGGAGCATTTAGAAGAAATTGAGCAGCACCTGAGAGGACAACAGGCACTCTTTTCCAGGGACATGTCAGAGGAGGAAAGGTAATTATCTAAGAGAGCCATAAAAGTAAGCACCAGCCCGCACACCTGGAGCAAGGAAAGGTAATCAGGGCAGGACAGATGAGCACCGGGGAGCAGGGCTAATGAGAAATTGACCAGCTTTTCCTTCGCTTTCATGTTCTTGTTCTTGCTGTCTCAGTGGGAGTCTGTGAGAGCCATTTGCTATATAACAACCCTTACTCTTCAAGGCCAGGGCTATTTGAGGTCAGAAAATGGGCAACAGCTGGGAAGAGGGGGCTAGCCAGCAGGATATCTCTAATCCCTGTGAATGGGGCTCATGCAAATGCAAATACTGGCGGTTGTTAGAGTTTTGAAAATGGGCACTATTCGCACATAGATTAAAAGTGTATGTCCCAAAAGCAGATAAGTCATTGCCTACGGGTTGGGGATAGGAATAGGGATTAACTGTAAAGGGGCACAAGGTTTCTTACTGGTGAGATGGAAGTGTTCCAAAACTGAATGGTGGTGACAGTTAACCACTTGGCAAATCTACTAAAAATCATTGAATTGTACTCTTAAAATAAGTAAACTTTATGGTATGTAAATTATTCTACGATAGAGTTGTTTAAAAAAAAAGGAAGAAAACCTACTCTAGGGTAATATACCTATGCCTGATACAAATAAGGAAGGTGACATTCTCTTTTAAGACTTATTAAAGGAGTGACCTGCATTTTGAGAGGGACAGTGGAAGACTGCACCGGGAGGAGATTATGAAATTTGGTTGTTTCATATTGTTTACCTGCAGGGAGGAGGCAGAACAACTGCAATCTTTACGCGAGGCCCTGCGACAGGAGATGGAGGAGCTAGAGTTTCAATTAGGAGACCGGGCTCAGCAAATCCAAGACGTTGTTCAGTTGGTACGTGGCAGTGGGCTGTGGCGTTTCACTAGATCCTGCCCACCGTAGCAGGGGTGCATTCAGTGAGAAACCCACTTGTGCAGTCAGTCCAGATTCTAAGATTAGGTGCCAACACCTTCATTTTAAGTATAAAGAAATCGAAGCCCAGAGAGGCACATAGGTTTGCTCAAGGCCACACAGCTAGCTGGCAGTGATTCAGGATTAGAACTCAGGTCACTTAATCCCCATGCCAGTCTTTTCCTCTGCCCTGTATATAAGGGAAAAATATTATTAGCCCATTTTCCAAATGAGGACAAGAAGCACAGTTTTTGACAATTTGGGCCAAATCACTGCCAGAATCTGCCGCCATCTCACAGATCCCACTCTAGAGAATTCACCACCATCAATACCTTTCCCACAAGTCTGAGTTACCTGCTTGGTGTAAATATGGTAGGTGGTCCACACTTTTTGTTCTTGTTTTCCTTTCAGCAGCTTGAGCTTCTTACCGGGGAACCACCTGAACGTTATACAAATCTGCATCAGTGTCACTGGACAGAAGAAAAGAATGGCCAGACTTCGGGTGCTAAGATCCACCCTGCCATGGCCGCTGGGGCTGCCGTTCCTCCCGATGACGATGACGGCCGGCGGACGCCCTGCTCAGGTGTGGCCCATTTAGCTGCCGTTGCTCCAGCCACCTTGGGGAGCAGCAGCAGGATGTCTCCTCCAGCTTGGCGGAGTTAGATCCAACCTCTCAGTTAAACTGTCCAGTTGGAGAAAAGGACACAGATGTCTTCCTCTAGATCACAGCAGATTTGATGACCTTCCTACAAAATGTAAGAGCACCTTCTAGCCAGAGAAAAGATACCTAGATTTCCCCCAAGGAGAAATATCTATTAATCTTTCATCAGTTTTTTTAAAATGTTGTACTCTATGGTTAAACGTGGGAGGAATAATTTAATACTCATTCAATACAGAATAAGTGAGTACCTACTATGTGCCTGGCGTACAGTGTGGTAGCCAAGATATATATATCTCTCAAGATATATTTGGTGTACAGTCTTTACCCTGCTGAAGCTTACAGTCTACTGGGGGAGGTAAAATGTAAACCCATGAATAGGTATAAATTTGAAAACTGTAGAAGTGCTTTGAAGGAAATAACAGGGTTGTATGAAAGAGAATGTAACAGGGAGTCCAATCTAGATCAGCGTATCAGGAGGGTCTGGTTGAGGGAGTGACAGCAGAATGTGGAAAGACGATCCTGGCCCCAGAGGTACCAGACTGTTGACAAGACTTGCATCTGTCGGCGAGCCAGGCACACTGAGGAAGCACCTACGGGTGCCAAGACCTCCTCTTGTGCTGGAGACAGAGCTGTGAACAAGACAGAATTTCTACCATGCAGAATTGGATGAGGAGTGAGAAACCACAGCAAGAAGTAACTAAGATCGTCAGTACTCGGCCATGGTGAGGGCAGCGCGGTGATTCCGTGGGAGGTGATGTGAGGTGAAAAGCGTACCGCATCTGTCCCGAGTGGTCGGCCTCGCTAAGGGCAGCTCTCTGGGTAAGGCCTGGATGGTGAGGAAGAGGAAGCCGTGGGAAATTCTGGGGAAAGAATATCGAAAGCAGAAGGGCTAGAAAGTGTAAAGGCTCAGAGACAGAAATAGTCCGAGTGGCCGAGTAGGCCGAGAGGGCGAGTGATGGGGGAGAGGAGGCAGAGGCGGTATGAGAGGTGGGCCCCGGGATCACTGTGGGCAGGAGTCGGAGCCCGAACGTTTTTCCTGGTGTTACGGAAGGCCGTTGTAGGTTTTAAACAGGGTTGTCGTATGATACGATTTACATTTAAAAATCACGCTGACTGCCTCGTGGAGACTCTCCACTGAGGACTTAACAGCTGGCAGAGCTCCAGCTAGGAGGCAGTTGGTGTAATCCCTGAGGGAGAAGCAGAGCTGTCACGTTGCTTCCAACCTGCTGGGGAGGCTCGAGAGGCCACACCCCAGTGAAATGCAGGGAGGCGTACACAAGGGCTGAGTGCCTGCGAGTCTCCAAGTCCTACAGGAATTCTAAGAAGGGGGCATGCATGAAGAATGGAACAGTCAGGAAGCTTCATGGAAAAGTAACACTTTATAATTTGTACAAGATGGGCAAGTGATGGTCACTTCCCAGCAAGGAAGCCAAAAAGCTATTTCTTTTGAAACTACCCATCACCAGAACCCATCTCATAGCCTGTCTCCCTTCTTCATCCTCCTTGCTTTTTGGAAACGCTTTGACTTCATGGGAGCCCTCCTACCCTTGAGACCATCCTGCAGGTTCCTCTGTTGACTGTACTTCCTCAGGGTGTGGACATCCCCCTTCCGTCCTTAATTCTCTTGTTTTTCTCTCTCCATGCCGTCCTCTCAATGTACACGCTCACTCTAGAGGCCCAGTTCCCAGCTCTTTCCAGAATTCCTGTCCAGCACTTTCTATTCTCTACAAGATAGTTTCCCTTGGAGGACTTGCCTTCATGTCTCACTCGGCCTCAATCTTTTTATTTTTTTTCTTTTTTCTGTTTGTTTTTGGGGGGCAAGGGAGGTAATTAGGTTTATTTATTTTAAATGGCGGCTCTGGGGATTGAACCCAGGACCTCATGCATGCGAAGCATGCACTCTACCACTGAGCTATACCCTCCCCCACCAGCATCAATCTTTTTATTTCAGTGTGATACACAGTGTCCCCTGCCAAGTACCTATATGACAATCTCTTATTCTCAAAAGCAGCCCACAGCAAAATGGCTCATTAGACATAGAAAACATTTTTTCCTGAGAACATAGGTTAAAGCTAAATAAGACTCCATTTTGGTGTTCAGGTGTGTTGACAGGGTTCAGACATGTTTTTGACATGAGTTGCTTCCACACAAAACAGATGGAAATGAAGATTTGGCAGTGGTTAGTTCATATGATCAAACTGCATAAAGGGGACTGACATGCAAGTTGCCATTTGCTCCTACTAAAGTCTTTTTTGCATGTGACACGACAGGCTTCCCTCATTTGCAGTCCTCACTGCTAAGAGAAGTATTCCTCACTTGAATGATGAGGAAGCGGAGATACGGAGAGAATGACCTACACAGGCACACACTGAGTCCTGCACGTCATTACTCATGAGAAGCAACTGCACACTGGCATTAAGGGCTCAAGCTCTGAAGTTAAATCCAGGGTTTGAACCTTAAATCCAACTCCACTGTGTGTGTTGGATAAACTACTTAACCTCCCTAAGCCTAGTGTCATCATCTGTACAGTAGAGTTAATGTATATATAGCCCTTTAGAGCAAGCCTGGAGCATGGTTCCAGGAGGATTCCGTACTGGGTATGGCTCAGTATGATTAGGATGATAATGATAATACAAGTAGAGGCAATTTTTTATTATCTATTTACTTGCAAGGTACTGGGCTAAACACTTCATGTGCCTTATCACTTATCTTCACAACAATCCTGAGAGGCAAGAATTAATACACACACACACACACACACACACTCTCACACATGCATGTGCACAGACATGCTCAAAAAGACTATAAATTGTCTAAGTTCCAGCAACCAGTAAGGGACTGAGTTGACTCTCTGATTCCCTGTTTTGCCAGTGCTCCATCATTATGGCTCTGCCAAGCCTTGGGTTTATGTGGAGCCCACTGATGTGTCCAAATCAACCAAAGTAGCCCTGCTTCTGTCTGCATAATCTATTTAGCCTTAGCAGAGATTTTCCTTTAAAAAAAAAATGATCTCATTACTGTAGAAAAGTGTGAAAAGCACTGTACTATGCTAATCACATGTGACTCTTGCAGTGGATTACAGGTTCTGAGTTGCTTTCATGCAAAGAGATGACTTCCTCTACAAAGACTCCTCAGGAGCCTACCACCCTAGCAACTCTTAGCTTACTACTGCCGTCCCTGAATGATTTTCTGGGGAATCTCATCGTGCTATCTTCAAGTTCTAAGATCCTACATTTTCTTTCTTTAGAAGTTAGCCTGTCCAAGATGACTATATTCAGGAAAATCTGTATTTGAAAACAGATCTTGCAAAAAGTATTAGTAGAAAGTTAATAACATAGAAAGCCTTTTCATTGTGAACCTCAGCTCAGGGTTGGAGTCATTTCGCTTCAATGAAAAAGAAGAAGAAAGTAAAATCATACCATCTGACCATATTCAAATTTAGAAATTAGCAAGTAACAATTTAACCTGTTCTACATGAAAGGTCGGGGGTCCTTCCTGTGTTAATTTTATTCCATCCAGATACTATTTCAGTATTCAAAGCCCAAATCTTTGAATAGAGAAAATTGAGTTGAGAAACAATACTTGGAAACTCAAATCACATATTTTCCCTGGTTTTGTTATGCATGAGTGAAGGCCTAGGTTGCAGGATGGAGACAAAGGATAAAACCTTGAAGTTTACTCTGAACCACTGCATGTGCATAGGCTGTATCACTTTTACAAGGAAATCCATTTTTCGATCCACAGAAAAACATTCCCACAAAATCCCATTCAGTTTTGTTTAACAGGTATTCCCTTAAATGTAGATTTTTGTCTGCAGGGTCAGAGTTACCTTTTCTTCAAAAGAAAATGATTCTGCTAAAGACTTTTTTGAAAATCTGGTCTATTATAACTGTTTCTTCTTTGTCGAGAAATAATCAGTTTCTGTGATATACACAGGTCAAATAAAATAGACATTTGTGCAGAGGTCAAAGGATAGAATTATTTTCTTTCTGAGAAGAGTGTTGTATTGTGAGCTGGTGTGTTGTATATCTAATTTCCACAACAAAGAACAGCCACAATTTGCAGGGATTATGGATTATTTTAAATGACGTCAAAATGCTTTTCTTGAAAATGAGAAAATGTGAACAGAAACCAAAATATGGTTGGCAGCTTTCTCTAACCCAAGCCTCAGTATCTGCTGGTCTAATTTTGCAAACACTAATAGACCAGAAGTGCCCTATGAGATCCTCCCTGTCTGAATCACCTCAGTCACCAAGAAGGAGCCTTCCACAGCAAGAATGATTTCTATTCATTAGAGTCAAATTGAAGACTTGCCCCTTTTGGGTACTTCAAGAACTCAGTGCTGTCCAATGCTGGTAATCCGCTCAGATTACACTCAGAGCCAGTCTTCTCTTCATTCACCAGGAAAATGAAAGTGAAAGAAATGCACCTACTTCTAAATGTCCCTACATTTTCTTCATTCCCATGATCATTCAATAATTGCTCATTTGCTAAGTGACAACGTACCAGAGTCACAGGACATCTATGTTTTTCTTTTTAAAACAAATATTTGGGAATATTTTACAAGTACGTACCTTCGAAGACTTAAGAACTGTAATAGGTGTCCAACATTTTCTTTCCCCAAAGCCAAGTATTTACTCATTTAAAAAAGTTACATGTTTCTACTTTACACCATCTATGCTCTTCTTTGGAGACAGGTAGGCATTTGTCAAATGCATTGCTCTGATAGCAATTCCTATGAATAAAATGGAATTTACTTTTATTTTGTATTATCCACTGACACGGTTTTCTCAAGCTTGAAAACTGTTGAACCCTGTGAAATTCCCATTGTTTTAGTGAGTGCTTAACACTGATGCATTGAGGGGGAGATTCCCTACCCTGTTCGACTCCCATTCCTGTCTAGTCTTACAACTTACCTGCTCTATACAGACTCAGCCTCTGCCTCAGCCTCCACCAACCCCTCTGCTGCTTCTTCTGTCCATGGTGGAGGCTCCAGAGCTGGGTAGTGCAAGTGGTAGAGTAGATCTCTGTTTGGCTTTTGGTCACTTTATGTGTATGCGCTTGTGTTTTGCTTCAGCAAACAACTCTCTTATTATCCATTTAATCTGAATAAATGTAGAACAGTGAATCA